ATTTGTTCATTCAACAGTGCTCTCGAGTTGCCACTATCTTCTAAGGTTATTGAACAGAAAGGGACATTTCAAGCATGGTTGAAAAACCTTTCATCACAGAATCATCTTTGGTATTCCTACAGCAGGGAGGGAAGCTGGTAACTTGTCCAGCCAGTCACTCAGAGCTCTCATTTACAGCTGCAGGCTGAAACAATTCATTCTGCACATTGTAAGACCTCAGACCTCGAGGAATGTTATTGTTACCCCGTGTACACGTGCACATACAGTAGGGTCAACAGATAATCACTGTTTACAGAAGCTGTCCTCCTGCTCCTCAGGCTTGAACAACGCCTGATATCTGACTTCTACAGTATTTCCTTTCAGTGTTACGATGGTAAATGCAGGGATTAATGAACTGCACAACAGCATCAACAATTTGAATTATTTTTATTAATACCACCAAACAAAAATTAAGGAGGGGAAGCCATTTTAAAAGATTACCCTGGTGTTATTATAACTTGGGTAATATCATGTTACAGTTTTTACTATAGCAATTCAGCAATTATTACACTGTGATACCAGTGTAAAAGGCGGAGTTTTAAGAGTTTTTCCCATGATTAAACCCTTTCAGGACAGTACTGTTTTTTGGTAAAGGAAAACGGGCTAATTCGCTTTGAGAGACAAGGGGGAAAAAAGATAAAAGAAAGAGAAGCTCAGTTAACCCCCTGAGACACTAACAAGCAAATTGAACTGCCGCGGAAAGGTTTCAGACACAATCCAGCAGTTATGTTTATGGCACCACCAGTCTCCTTTGATTCCTTCCTGTCCAGACCACTGGAAAGCCTGCAACCACTGCGTGCACCACTCCACTGAATGGAGTCCGGACCCCATTTCAAACTGGGAAAACGCAATTCCTTTCAGACCCAGTTGGAAAAAAAAATCCCAGACTCTTCTTGTGGTCGGAGTCATAATTCTCGTTATGAGCATGTCTGCACTAGGGCTGGGATCCTCAGTGAGCAGAACAAAAGAAAACTGCTCAAGCATCCCGGCACGCTAGCCCGCACAGCTCTGATTACACAACTCTGGAGGCTGCTAGCCCTCCTCATAACATTGCAATCATACTTCCCAGGTGTTCAGTATAAACAGACTGAAGATGAGCTGTGCCAGGGTGGGTGGGGGAAGTTGACAAAGACAACAAGGCTGATATGTCAGTGGTAAATGAAAAAGGAGAAACTGAGCTGGAACTCACGTTGAAAACACCTGCATGCGGCAGACAAATGTCCCCTCCAGAAATGTCATCTTTTATTGCTCATTTTTCACATGAATGTATGACTTCATCTATTCGACACTCAGCTCTTTTGACTCTGTGCCAGCTTTCGACTTTCATTTTTGTACTTTCTTTCCTCCCATTAAAACCACAGCTCACACGGTGAAACCCACATCCATCTGGTAAATACTGGGTATGTGATGATGAAGAGATGAGATCAGCATGAGGAGTGTATGGACTCACTGCACTGCATGCACCATTAAATGAACACACCTCATTGTTCAACTGTACGGACGGTTAGGGGGATTAATGACCTGTTTTCATTTAACAGGGGCTATCAAGTGAACAAGAGCAACAGACCACCTGTGAAACAGCTGGTGGGACACAATAAATATCAGGTTTGCGAGCATCAGTGAAGTTTCCAATTGATCGTTTATCAGCTCAGTTTGCTGCCACCCCTGTATCCCACAGGGTGAATGAGGATCAGAGGTCATGCTCCTCTGTCATACTCTGCCGACAGGTTCATCTGTGGGTTATGAGGTTCCCTATAGCAGAGTACAGTATACTCTTTAGTTTATTATATTAACTGTAGAATGTAGGAGTAGTGTCTCACTGATGTCGTCCAAATCTGACAGAAGCCTGGCAGGTGTTAGGAGGTGCCATTTCCCAAAAATCAGGATATCCTGGGCAGCTCGAACCCACACAACCCCACCGGACAACTTGCACAATGCCTCTTGGGTAATGTGAATTGCATTCTGCTAACAAAAAAGACCCATACTCAAATTGGTGACATCTTGACAATAGGACACAACCTGTTCTTCAAGCAATCACCTATGCTGGCTAAGCTGGTAGAGCAGGGTTTTTTCCAAGACCAGGTCCTGCTGGATTGTTGTTTCTGCAAGATTCATAGTTGGGGGATGTCTGAAGAGGTGGGGGACATTGTAAGCTTGGTCTCATTTAACCAATAACAAGATTAGTTTAGGTCACGAAGAGCTGAGTTAGATTGAAAACCTGCAGATACACTGGCCCTCCAGGATCATGACTGGGCAACCTTGGTCCGCACCAAATACATTTAACATTGATTGGGCTGTCAGGAGCTGGCTGTAGAATATGCTGACAACTGCTGCATAGGAGAAATAAACCAGTCAATCAGTGTGCAGGTTGCAAATGTTCAGTAAAGTAAATCTCAGGTTGCTTTGTGAGCAAGAAAGACTTTAAAGTGGATGTATCCTTAGTAGAAATGAATGTCTAATAGATGGAATCCTTCCTCATTTGCCAATTAAGAACTTCAAAGCATGGGTTCTGTGATAACTGGAAATCTAACAAGGGGGGCATATCCATGTGACATGCTGTGGAATCGAGGCTGCACTCATGCACTCTTCATGCACTTCATGCACTCCTTTGTCTCAGCATAGTAGTGAATGCTCTCCATGGAAGAATAAGTTGAGAAGTTGCAAAACAAGCCTGCTTCTTCCTTCTTACTATTTCATCTCATCCGCTCTGTTTTTAAGTGGATGGCCAGTGTACAGATGCTTCCCATAGGCCCTGCTTCCCCTGTGTCTCCCCAGGCAGAGTCGATGAAGGCTTCAGTG